TACACAGTTTAAAGAATCCTACAAAGAAAAAATAAATGAAAGACATAGAATTTAAAATTTAAAAGAAAATTGTGTTTTAAAACATGAAAAATATATGATAAGTTAAAACATTTTACCTGTTTTAACATAAAGGACTTAATTATATGGACATAATGTGATTCAAATTATAATCGAAGTCAAATGTTACATTAAAAGTTAACATATACAATTTTTAGCATTAAAATGAAAGTAAATAGATATTAGATACCGTTTATAAAATTGAGAAAAAAACTTTCATATCACGATAGTGTAGGAGTTAATGTTAAATTATACACTTGTCTAAGAGTAGGAATATCATAAACAAATCACATTTGAAGAAAAAACTGTCTATACATTTTCTAAAGTATGCAATATAGTGCAGATATTGATTGAAGAATACGTAAGTATTGCTTACTTATTTTAACATGTTTTACAGCACATTGTTTGTATTAAAATTAGATTCTTTTCAATCAACAAACTAAATTCAATTTATTTTAATCGATATAAACATGCAGAGATTAGATACCTGTAACGTTTGAAGCTTTTTATTTGCTACCAGAAAAAAAAGTTGACACAATAAAAAAATGCTATTGTAAAACCAATACAATTATTGTCTTAAAAACTTGTAAGTACATAAATAAATAAAACATAATCTTAAGTAGTAAATGTGAAATTGAAGAACATCGAATTTAAGAATTGGTATTTAATAGTATAACTGAGATTTGTGTTTTATTGATACATGGTATACGTTGTACACGGTTTTATAAACATTTAACTTTTAGAAAAAAACTTTTTGGTTTTTTAGTAATTTTTAGAAACTTTTATAATTAGGTGTACACTAAGTATAAAAGTTAAATAATAATAAAAATAATTTATAACTTAAAATAATTATACGTTTTAAAAAATAACAACACTTTTTTTTTGAACTCTCTATTTTTTTTAAATGTTAAAACACAAAAATGTATTACTGATAGCATATTGTATATAAGTTTATATTGTTATAAATTAAAAAATAATGTGAGCTATAATAATATATTTAATTCTTAAATATTTTTAAATAATAATAATAAATTGTGTTAAAATAAGTTAATGTACATTGACATTTTTAAGTTTACTAATTGTATTAACTAGGTACTTAAAAATTATGTTGATGTTATAAATGAATACTTAAAACACGTCTGGCTATTATAAGCCTTATTAGTATTTCAATGAAATTAAAAACTTATAGAAACAAACTTGTATTCTAAGAATATGTATTTTATAAATAATTGGATTAAAATTTAATGCCGGTTTTGTAGCATGGTTTATATACGCGGTGATATTGAATTGAATCCATGCTAATTTTATGTGTTTGAATTGAATCTAGCTTATTATCTTAATATCTTTGAATTAAGTCTGTATAGATAAAATATCATAACCTGCCGGTGATTACTTTGAACTTTGTACATCATATTACTCCAAACAGTGGCGTATCCAGGGGGGGCACGGGGACCACGCCCCCCTCGTTGGCCTTATTTACTAGATTTTGTTTTAAAGATTTTAATTTTTTTGTATGCATGAACGCATACTACAATAATACTCTTATACCAGCATTACATACACTTATAATTTTGTTGGAATTAACCCGTTTTTATTATTAAATTACTATTACTATTTATTATTATGTATATTAACTTAATGACTGACTGAAAATATAAACAAATTATTTGCACTATAAACATTAAATATTTGGTTTATTTTATTTATTTTGTTTTTGGTAGTAGGTAGTATATATGGTAAAATTTTAGACAGTGTGTGCCCCCCTTCCCCATAAAAAAAAATTCTGAATTCGCCACTGACTCCAAATACGCAATGATAACGGATATTCGTCAACGGCCCGGTGGTATACTGATATATACCTACTCCTTCAAAATCAATCAGTCGTGCCGAACACTTCGTGAACACACAATTAGTTAATACTTACTTATAATTATCAAATTATTACAAGTGAAAAATGGAGTGTATGTTTAGATATTTACCCGTAAAATAATTATTTCTCCTCAAACAATTTTTAATATTTTGTAATATTTCAAAAAATAATAAGATTAGTATGTACTTGAAATATTTATGAGTATGACAAATTTTCAAATTTATTTTAGTATTTTTCTATAACTGTCGATAAAAAAATATTTTCTCGGTAAAAAGTACCTTTATTTATTATTATTTTTAATATTTTGTAATTAATTGACTATTAATATTTATAATTACAATTAAAAAAGGAACTCAACTCAAATAACCCAAAAGTATTTGCAGGACTCAATTCAATATTTAAGACTCAATTTAATGTTATCCTTTATACGAGAAATATTAAAAAATGATTATCAATTCAAGATTTATAAGATTATAAAAATAATTTTTGAACTTAATGGAGCGAAATTTTTATAAAAACACAAAGGATGATTTATTATTGATCATTTAAAATGTAAAACTTATTCATGAACATAATATACCCACTATTTTATCGATTTTTAGTGAATAATCATTTGAGTTACCTAATGATTTATAAGATATCTAACAAATATAAAAATACTTGATAAATACTCGTATTTTTATACTCTTATCTAAATTATAATTGTAATGATTTCTCTAGAGTTCTTTTTAGGAAGTTTTATATATCAAACAATAAGTATTGAAAATAAGTCATATACTCATATCAAAATAATCAAACTGTAAAAATAAATATTAAGAAATGTATCCATCTTTCAAAGTGTTAAACAAAATGCAAGTCCATTCATTGTATATTATTTTTTTCCAAATATCATAGATATTATAATGTTTATTATAAATTATTATTTCAAAATTTCCGGTTTTTTTTTTTTTTTTTAATTGAGAATTTTTGAGATAGTACAAGATAAAATGGTTTTTACTTTTTTGACAAAGCCATTAGTTTTATAATAACATTATTTTATTTTGAAATGGAATAAATAACTGATCTCATCATAAATTTATATAAATAATATAGTTATTTGATGATACATTTAATGTCATTTTTGGAAAAATTACACAATATTGCATTATTGTTACTTAGTAATATTTTTATGCGATCGGATCTCAACGTAGCGGTAACATTTTGTAACTTAGATTGCACAGTGGGAAGTGTAATTTTTGGTCATAACGAAATACAATTAAATCTGTAATTTTCTAACCACCCTATTATTACTTTGCTACAAGTTTTTAGTTTAAACATTTTTATTGGCCGTAACTTCTATCTTCTATGAAATAAACGATATGTATAAATTAAATTTTTTGTTGCCACTCACTTGTATATAAATTATTATGCACTATTATTATAACAATTTTCTGTTTCTTGATAATAACAATTATTTTTTTGTTAATTTAATAGTACCTATACTTGAATGTTTTATTCTCCCTCACTCGTTTAATCAAGTTAATTTTCTATACAGCACTTAGTTAATATGTTTTAATATTACATTAAAGTTAATTACACTGCAAACATATGTTGAATAAAAAGTAGTATTGCTTATTTTATTTTTGGTTAACATTTTTTCAATATCAAAGAAATAAGATATAGATAGGTGCAGCCATACTACGCGTAGACTAATGACATAAAATCATTTCTATACAATATACCTAGATAAAATAAAATACTGTGTAGATTTCATTAATTTATATAACTTATTATATATGTTATTTATAATAAACATTTATTCGATTCCAATAAAATGTAAGACTTGCATTCGTCACTACATTATGTATAGTGTATATACCTATTGTAATAGAGATATTATGCGTTACAATGGTTTACCGTTGAAAAATTTCAAGCTGATATTTCTTCGATCGAACAAATTGTATAAAATATGTAAGGTTATATATTTTCTATTGTATATAAAATAAGGGTTCGAATAAGTCTTTTTATAAAGAAAAACTTGACATTAAGGCTATTGGGTAGTGTGACAGGTGTCACACTAATTTAATACTCGTTATATTATTTCATATTTTAGAGGTAATTATATAAATGTTTTCTAAAATCATTGAACCAAAGCTAGAAGTCATTAATTTCATGTGTTAAATTTAATATTTAAATTATAACTTTATAATTTAATAAAAAAGATTAATTTATGCTTTCTCTTCATCCAGATTTGTTTCATAATTATAAATTATTGATTCATATATATATATACCTTGTATATAATGGTCTTTATGATGTTTGGTAAATAATTTTGTGCATACGTTTATCCTTTGTTCGATACGACGCAAATATAATAATATTATAATGCTATCCGATTATAGCACATCGTTAACATCGTTCAAAAGTTAACAAATTATCTGTGACAAATAAAATATGCCTAGGTATATATTGTACTATCTAATCTTGCACGTCATTATCCGTGAAAAATTAAATCATGTCAGTGAATTTACTCTGTCTTGTAATCCGTTAAACGGATCTTAAACTATGCATAATTTATAATAGGTGGTTTTAACCTAACCATTAAATTCCTTTGTAAATCCCTTTTTATAATGTATAATTAAAAAAAATATTGGCTCCGAGGTGCACTACTACTTATGGCTAGTTTGTATTGAATTTAAAAACCACGAGTGCAAAAAACTCGGCTATGGATCATTTACACACACAGACATTGTCTTTTACTAAGATATATACATATAATAATATTATATTGCATGCTGGTTAAATCAGTATTAATTACGGTATGTATAGCATTATAAGGCTTTAAACGTTTAAGTGTGTATATAGGTACATAATATATCATTCGTATTATTAACCTAAGTTAGCTATCATTACCATACTCGTGTTAAATAGTTGAAAAATTGATAGTGTAATTGTTTAAAATTAACCGCAATATAGCACTCGGCGCGCTAAAACGTATTTTTGAAACTGCTAATAAATAATAAAAACAATAACAAAAGTATAACATACGCAAGACAACAGCTGCGTTTTTTCTTTTTATTTTCAATATACTCACCCCGGAGACTACGAGACAGTGGTGCGAGTATAGTGACGAATAGTCTTCTGCGGGCAGCAGTGGTGTTTGTAGCGTGATGCTGGTGGGTAAGGGGGTGAATGTGACGCCGGTGGCAATAGTAATTTTGTATAAGGACCAACGAACGAGCGAGCGACAGAACGCGCGCGAAACAAATGCAATACGGGTGGCGAACACGCGAACGCGGACGGCTGCGGCCAATTTACTGGAAATCCGAAGGGAGCAGCAGCGGCGGCGGCAAAAAGCTCCACCACCACTCACTCGGTCGCCGCCGATCATCGGCAATAGCACAGCTGGCTCAACAACCGTTACGTTGTGCCGGCCCGCCACCTCCGCCGCCGATGACGATCATTGCGTTCCTTTTCGCCACTGTATAGGTTATACACATATACACAAAGTACAGTGTGTATGACGGCGATAAAGGCAACACGAAATAATACGAACGCATGACCGTCCATGATTATCCGGGTTTTTCTCACTGCGTGAGTAAAAAACGACTCGATATTGGTTACACTTGTTTTTTTTATTTTTAAATGTCATTTTTTCTCGCACGTCGAACAGATTAACTTTTGCGGCTCCGTCTCAATACGAAATGATTTTCTCGAAAGACTGCAGACTTCCCGGGTTTTTTTTCCTATCGTCTTAAAAATGTATACTTGTTAAGAGCGAGTCAAAATCTCTGTTTAATAAACGACTATAGGCACCCAAGTACGTCGTGTTTATAGTAAATACATATTATATTATAAGTATATCTATTATTTTTTTTCAACAGACCGCCGTACACAAAAAATATGTTCCATACCGTGATTTTGAACGATATTTTAAAACGACTTATGCGTCGTGTCACCACGAGTGCAAAATCACGCGAGACTTAGCACGGACAAAAAAATTTTTCCCAGAAATAATAGCACAATGTTGAGTATTCGAGAGAAAAAAAGGTCGAATGAAATTCGCGGTCACGTACGTTCGAAGTGTTTTGTGTTAAATTTGAACACGCTATATATATTGTATTGGCGCCGTCGTGTCTGCAGCGTACGCGCTCACCGTAATCGTATACATGTATATATATTATACTACGTAAGCGACTCGTAATTTCGTAGTATGCACTGCACTACCACCGGTACAGGGCGAAGATACTTAAAACGCCGCCGAGTGGCGGTGCGGTTTGGTAAACAGAGGTGGCGATCAGCGACTGCGCCCGATGACGGGGAGGTGCTGTATTGGCCGGCGGTGGAGCGGTGTGATTGCTAGTACGTCGTCACCGTGTCTGGCGTACACGCTGTGTTAATAATGTATTTTTACAGAGTTGGACAGTAACTGATGTACTTGAGATATGTACGTAACTGAATTACAATTTTTTTTCAACTCGTATCTTGTATTTTTTTAAGTTTTTAAAAATAACTTGTTTATTTTTAGTCAATGTTTTTTGGGAGTCAATTTTATAATTATTAATAATAAACGATAAAATAATGTACTTACTTAAATATTATATGTATATACATATAAACATTTTTTTTTTATTATTTAAATTTTCTTAAGTCGTATTTGTCCAATATAATAAGTGATTATTGAGGAAAATGTACACAACATCATTAATGTTGTTAGTCATTCATTAAAAATGCGCACACATATAAACATAAAGATAGATAAGCGGGCAATAGGCATTATAGCCGACAATTTATAAACTATAGGCGTGAACTTTGATTTTTATCTTAGATTTTAGTTCATGATTTCTTGAAGTTTTATTTTCATGACTTACTAATAAATAATATGAAATACATTTTTAATTATTGAATGTATCATACATGTTTATAAATAACCAAATATTTTTTAATATAATGCCAAGTCCAACATTATTTAACATTTTTCAAGCTTTTGTTTCAAGGTTAAATGATCCATTTGTTTTTATGTAAAATTTCTTTTTTAAATTTCTCCAAAATGCATCCAATAGTTGAAAATACTTGAAAAGGGTATTGTCAGTTCACAATGATTGATATGTTTGGTACATCTTATTTGTTTATTTATTCACGTCTCATGTGTGCGCATATGTGACTTGAATACCATTTTTGACTGTTGTTATTTCCTAATAGTTTCATTTGATATTTTCTCCGAAAACTATGGCATCTTATAAATGCCAACGTTTTATACAAATTTTCTATTAAAGATTTACATTTAAAATAATAGTCATATACGTATGTATTCAAAATAAATCACTTTTAAAATATTTGAAATAAAATTAAAAAAATTACAATATTTAATATGATCAAAACAATAAAAAAAATTAGGTTTCGTATTTGGAAATGTATGTAAATTCACGCCTATCGACTATTACTTATAAGTTATAACTTATAATAGTATTGAAGACAATTTTAAAATTCAAAAATATTTAAAATAATATATTAAACATTTGTAGTATTACAACCAAAATCCTACAAATTTAAATATTCGAAAAACAAAAATATAGGTATATGGTTAATAAATATCCTGCATTTGTCAAGTATAGGCACTGATTGTATGTTAATCAATATATTATTATTATTATTATTAATACACATATTAATATCAATTTATGCTGCTCTATATTATCAAGATTTGAAAGGTAATTAATCATTATTGTATAGGATACGCATAATAAATATTTAAGCGAAGACATATTCTTTAATGATAAACATCCAGTAATCTATGCTATAATTATTTCCAATACGGTAAATTATGTATTTTATACTAAGTACTCTAAACTTATATTTTCAATATATTTTTAATACGTTCGACGAGTGGATTTAATTCATTTAACGTTGCGCATACATAGCAACGGAAGTATATAAACAGCGGAGTTTGCCACCAGCGTTGATAAATTGTATTAATTTTCAAACATCATATTATTATGTTACCCGTATCAACTGCAATACATCGTTAAGGTCTTGTAAAGCACATTTCAGTTGTATACGATTATAATATTTTGTGTTTTTATAGTTAATAAAACTTCAGTTACAACATGCCTTTTGTTGTACCTAACCAAATATGCGGTCAATATACTCTTTTTGGAGCATGAGACGTAAACATAGTGCTTATACGGTAGAAATAAAGTCATTAAGAAAATATAACAATTATTGTCTATTAGAAAAATATTTAATCTTCAACAAATGTAGTACATATTAATTCTTCTTTATTAAATTCTAGGTATTAAAGAATACAAACCAGAGTATCCGGCACATTTGGAATGAAGTGCCTACTGTGAAATGGTGATAATTATTTTTTTACACAAGTATGTATAGACATGGCTAAAATATCGGTTTCCAGTGTACAGTTCTTAAACATTAGGTCATCATCTTTAAAGATCACAATATTTTGATTGTTAAAATGCAAAAAAATAATATTATTATACAATGGAATTTCAATTAGTTTTATTTAACAAATAAATTTTATGTTATTTTTCCAAAGAAATTTTTACAGTGAGAATGGTACAAAATTTGTTCCATAGGATAACAGAAAGTTCGTTAATAACAAAGAATTTAAAAAATGTACAAGTTATAAACTTAATATAGGTAATTTAAATGTATTTTTTTTATTTTAATAAATTTATCAATATTATATATTATTATTTACATACATTTTAAATACTAAAAATGATTTAAATATATATATATATTTCTTTTTCAAGAATTTTTTTTTAAAGAACTTTAATAGAGGTTTTGCTGTAGTTAATAGAAAAATGAAGTTATGTCGGTAATGTATTTGTGATAGCCTACTCGAAACGCCGTATGAAATTGTTTCAACATTATTGAAGTTTTAAGAAAATAATGTATTATATAATTTATAATATTAATTGTTATATATTATTGGATAATATATTTAATAGAATTTCTAATGAGTGTTAAAATCTTTAAAAACATTAATAATTATGCATATTAAGATAAAATTCAAATAAATAGTGTAACTGTGTAACAATAATATGATTATGACTAACTTTTTAATTATCTTTGTAAAAACTTTACTTTTTTAACTTAAATCCTTAATTTATAAGTAACTATTGTTGCATCTTTTTATTATATTTGTTTTAGTTATACCAATTTGTTTGTTTATTCATATGATATATTATTATTAATATTTTTCATATCATTCAGTATATTTTCTTATAGTTTTTTTGAATTTGAGTAGTTAAAAGAATAATATTGAACATTTTTATGAATAAATTATGTTTTTTATTAGTTTTAATATTACTTACATAAGTTTCAAATAAATAAGTAACTAGTGTTTTTTAATTTTATTAAATCAGTACAAATTTATATAAATCCAATTAAAGATGTTTTAATTTTGCTAAATCTTCAGTACTTTTTTTTTTAATGAGCTATTTATTATTAATATGTGATGCAATTCAATATTTTACAATATGTATATACTTTCTTAAATTATACTCACTAACTGAAAATATATTTTAAATAATAGAAACACTGTGTTTAATTTTTAGTAATTTATTATTTAAATAATTTATTTGTTTTAATATTTTACTGTTTTATATTGTATAAATCATTTTTTTTTGTTGAATAAATTATGAATTTACTTGAAAGATCTTTTAACAAACAATAGTCATTTAAGAATTAATATGTTTATAAACAATCTAAATATCATACAATGTGTATACATTTTAAGAGGTACTTAATATGCTGTATTTCATAATTAATATTTAGTACAAAATACTCTCTAATACAATATTAATACAAATAATTGAATTGGTCAATTAAATTAATATTTTTATACAAAGTTTTAATGCATCTTTAGTAATATTTATACTTGTAAGCTTATATATATAATTTGTCAAAATCAAACAATAAGTATATAATATTATGATGAGTGAATAAAAAATATAACAAGTATTAATTAATGAAAAAATATCTATTAATCTATTGATGATACTTTTTATTTTATATTTTTGTATTTTTAATTTAAATACTCAATTTTAGATAAAATATAATCAATTAAAAATACTTGAAATAACTTTATAGTTTATTAATTGATTAAACTTCTCTTATATTACATTCAATTTGCACGCTACTATATTTTTTTGAACTATTTCTTAAAAAAAAAAGTTTTAAATTAATTGAACCATGACTAAATATTTCACTTAAATTTGGCTGTAAATGATTATGCTAAAAAATATATTTGAAGTTTTATTATTTCACATATAACTTATTTAATTATGCAT